TAACATCACTGGTCATCTCAGATGTACCAGATCATCATCCTCAACCTTAGGACTAATTTATCCTCAAGGTAAACCTCTAGAGCCTTCTGTATCTATTTTTATAGCTGACCTAGGTATTGCTATAGCAGAACCAACACTTGTGGTCAGAGCTGACTATTAAACTGCTATGCTCTTGTAGAGTTCACACAAACCCCAGCATCTACTTCACAGCATATCCGAAATACTTTAGTATACCCTTGCCAGTTCACCAAACTCCCAATCCAGATAGCCTGATAGGACTTATGACTGGTCCATTGATATATCAGGTCAGCCCAATATTCTTTTCCTTCAGCTCAATCTGGCAGCCTGGTTGGTAGTACCTCCCACCTAGAGGTTTTTGCCTGTCCAGCTACTTCGACCTTGGTATCCATTTCATAAGGCTAGCCTTTACAATAGGGCTGTCGAAGATCTGACTATCTCTCTACTCAGGTTTTTCTAAATGAATATCTTGTTATCCAATTTTAACAGATTTACACAACTACAAAGACTTATCTAGTGTTTGCATCGCCTATTGCCAGTTTGCATTTCTTCGTGTAACCACAACCCTGTCCCAAGGGATAATGTCATGTGACCTGTTACATGAATGCCCAATGACCTACCAGTTATGCTAGTGTGATCACTATTACAGGTATTCTAACCCAATCATTAGTAACAGTTGCCGTAATACAAATATTACATAGGTGATTATCTAAATTTTTGCTATCGATGGGATTTGAACACCCAACCTACTACTTGGAGGGTTGACAACCTAACCACTTCACTAGGTCACCACACCCTAGTTCTTCTGTTATTCTACTCTGTTCAAATATAATTTCTTTATCTTCTTTTTTTTGTTTAAAATTCATTACTATAAGCTTTGACTTTGTTTTATTTATTTTAATATCATTTGCTTTAAAGAACTCCTCTGCAATTTCAAGAATTTTTAGCAATTGGTCTTTGCTTTTTGTGATTCACATAGTATTATCTGCATAAGCAATTGCTATTTGTTTATGTTTTGTAATATAATTAATATTTGTATTGCTTAATGTTTTTTGTTTTACTATATAGCCTAATGATTTGCCTTCTTGAATTCTTTCTAATAACAGATTATAGAAGAGCTGCCAAATTAGTGAAAAGATTACCCCTTCTTGGTTTATATCATCTTCTGTTAGGCTATAAGCTGTAATTACTTTAAGCTATCATTTACAAAAGAGGTTGATAATATATTTTATTGTTTTTTGTAGTATTTTGACTTTTTGAGAGCCTACTCCAGACATTCTAGTAGAACTAAGTTGAATGCTTTCTTTATGTCTTGTAAAAGTATCTATACTTATTTATTTTTCTTTTATATTTCTTTTATTATTATATTTAGTATATATATTAGTTGTTCTATTGAGTTATTAGACAAATCTGTATAGTTTGGCTCTTTGAGTATTTGTTTCTCTATAAATATTTTGGCCAATCTTCTTGTTATCATCTTTGTAACTAACTTCCTAAAGGTTTTAATTAGTGCTATTAGTCTAATATTGTTTAGATTATATTTTCAGTCAATATTTTTTGGAATTAGATAAACTTGTGCTATTTTTTACTTCTTTGGCATTTCTTCTGTTTCTAGAATCAAGTTTGCAAAAGCTCTAAAAATCTTCTGTAATTTCTTTTTTGCTTGTTTTATTAAAGTGTAACTTATGTTTAAGATTTCTAAGACTGTATTAGCTTTAAGTTTCCTTAAAGTATCTTTCTACTTTATTTCTTCTATTTTTTCTTTTAATTTTTTATATTAACTGTTGCTCTTAGAAAGTTTAAAAATATGGACCAAAGGAGATCAAAGTTCAAAAAAACATAAATATAAAGAACAATAGTTCAGAATATGAAGAATACAGAAAAATCTTAGCAGGACAAGTCAAAAAGAAAATATATATATATATATAATAAAGACAATAGCTACTAATAGATATTAATTTTAGTGAAAACAAAAAAAAAAAATTACAATTATTCTATAATTTATAATTAATTTTAATATTTTTTAAAAAAATTTTTAATAATTAAAAATGATTAACCAATTAAAAGACAGCTATTCTATATCACTTATATAACATATAACACTTATACAATATATAATTCTAGAGATGTGACAATTTAGTGAAGTGAACAGGTTGTTAATCTCCAAGTGGCAGATCTAGTATTCAAATCCCATAGATGACAAAATTTGAATATTATATCCATATTATGATAACTATGTCTTATTAATTAGTTAAACAAAAGAGATAATTTGTAAACTTAAAGACAACATCTTGAATGAAAGCTCAAAACATCTATATGAAGTGTAATATTACATATATATAAAAGAATATTAATAATTAGTGTTGTATAAAACTCTATTGCAAATCCATTATAAGACCACTGGGTGCATAATACCAAGAAATTAAAACACAAAAACCTACTTAAAAATTTTGAATAAAGAGATAATATAGACTTTTGACAATATTATTAGACTATTAGAAGGCTCCAAAAAAGGATTATTAGAATTACTAAAATGGATTAAATGACAATATGTATAGAAAAACATATACCAATCAGACTGCTAAGAATTGCCAGAGAAAAAGGATCTTAAGATACTATACTAAACTATTTGAATTAGTAGTTTATAAAGTCTTTTAGGTCTTGTAGATTTAAAATTAAAGAATGAAAGTTAGAAAAGAAAAGAATCAATCTCCTAGTGAACTTTAGAAGAGTATAGCAGTTTAATGATTAGTTCTAATTGTAAATAATGATCTAGGTTAGAATAATATTAAATCAACTATAAGTATAGAATACAGAAGGCTCTAGTAAGCTTAATATAAAGTTAAATATGACTTAATGATTATAGTATATTTGCAGATTAATATTGCAATTAATAGGGTAGAAGTGAATACAAAAACTAGAATGTTTCGAGAAATTAAAATATATAACTCTTTCCGATGATCCCTTACACCAACTTTTTCCAAAAGTCTGATCTACGAAAATTATATAGTTATTATATTTAAATATAACAAAACTCTATTTTGAAATAACTAAGAAGGTTATTTACTGCATATTTGGTTGTAACTAAAAAGAGCTGAAAAAGATTCGAACCCTTGTAAGTGAAGTCCCTTGGTAAAACTCAAGTACTACTAAGCAAAGAAGTAGTAGATAAGCTCTGGAGCTTTGTTAAGTGCTATAAAGGCTTAGGCCTAAATAGTTACTTGGTTTAATATAATATTCTATATAGCATAACTCTTACAACTCTTTTTCAAGTTGGCTTTTCTTTCTGTCCTCACTACTGGATTTTTCTTTCAGAATTTTTATCAAAAAGTAAGAAATCTGACATACCCTCTCCAAAGGATCGACATTGTTTACCTTTCCAAATTAGGAACATTAGTCATAAGAAAACTATAAGACAAGTATCAGACCTATGATGGACAACATATATTAAACTCAAGAGGAAAATAAAAACTTCGACCATTCTCTTCACATGATAAATGGAATATATTATAATACAAAGATAAAGCAAATATGGGATATTCTTTATTTAGTATTATATAGAATTTTTAAAGCCTAGCACAGACAAAAATAGTACCTTTATGTTTTTTGTTTTTTCTTTATTCTTTTTTTTTTTTTATCTTTTTTTTTTTTTTTTGATTATGTTTAGGTTTTGTAGTTAGTCTCCTTCTTTTTTTTTACTTCCTTTTAGTTTTTCTTTCTTATATCCTGTTGTTCTTTAAACAAGAATTATAGAATTCTCTTGCTTGATAATTAAAGGAAAGGAAAAAATAAATCAAAGATGAAGTTAGGAAGACATTTTGAAGCTTGTTATAAAAGGAGAAAGATCCTTTTATTATGGACTTTAAGTAGTCAGATGAGCAGTTTATTTCTGCTTGAAGTAATGTGACAGATTGCACTTAGGTACCATTAGAGTGGCCAGATGATGCTAGACTTAGTTGTTAGGTAGTTCTATGTAATTGTAGCAATTGCAAGAATCTTAATAAAGTACTAGCATAACTGTCTATATTATAAAAAAAAAAAAAAAAAAAACTAGAATGTTTAAATAAAGAACTCACAGATGGGTTTTAGGTATGACAACTAGTATAAAACCTTCAAATAAACTACTTAAAATAGACAATGACTAAGTTGTACAAATGACTAATTGCATACTCTTTCCATGATTGCCTCTGTAACTATTGCATACAATAGTTATATGCTGACTGATTATTAATAAACTTCTGAGTTGCAATTACTTGCCTTAATGTCTAAAAAAAAAAAAACAACATATACTGTAATACTTATACAACATATAGCACTTTACTTATATACTGTATTGTTATAATAGTATGTTAAGAGTAATAACATTTAATGTAGAACTTTTGAGCAAACTACTTAAATAGACAACCAAAAGTTGAATAAATAACTAGTTATATACTTGTCTTTATACAAGTTATATATATATATATATGTATAATTAAAAATACAATAAAGATAGTAATCACTAGTAACATCAGTCTTAGTAAAAAAAAATCAATAAAAATCAATAATAATCAATAATATGTAATCTTTTTTTTTAAATAATTGCAATTAATTATAATAGATATAAATTGATTACAATTATTCTGTAACTTGTAATTAATTTTAATCTTTTTTAAAAAATTTTCAATAAATAAAAGTGGTTAACCAATCAGAAGAAAGTTATCTTATATTACTTATATAGCATACGGCACTAATACGTCATATGGTGCTTTACGGCAGGCAGCACTTCTACTTATGTGGCAAATATGCCGTATTGCTGTGCTAGTGTGCTGAGGTAACTACCCCTCAAAATTCTAAATGTTTATATCTTGATTATATACACTGTTTTATATTAATTGAAATATTTATTCAATATCAAACATTTTGGATTTAGATTTTATTCATATAATCTACGTTACATGTGCAGATTGATTGGTTTCAATTACTGTTTGAACTTTTAGGGGTGTATGGAATGATGTTCGCATCATTTTATTATTTAAAGGTGTACCATTACGATCATTTCGAATTATTTCATTATTAGCTAAGTTCTGAATTTTCCTCTTGCATATTTCGGCAGAACAGTTCATTATATTCTTTTATATGAAAGATAAAAATTAAATTACGTTGTAACTGATAAATAAAATAAATCCAATAATATTATATATTTTATACTAACTTTTACTTGCATAAGACGTTCTATTGAAGTAGGAAGTACGCCAAAATCAGAACTGTCCCGAGGAAGATAAAATTTTCCCAAAAGAATCATACGGTATATCGCCTCATATTTTAAATCCATAGCATAAACACGACACTGAAAGCCTAGTTACAAGAATGCAGAAAAGTACAAATTAGATTATAAAAACCAATGTTTTGAGAAATAAACAAATAAAAAACCTGCCTTCTACGAGTAAACCACAAATTATTAAATTAGTATCTTCCACCCCATCCTCAATACATTTGTCAATTATATCTTTCATTCCATTTCCCAATTTCACGAGATCACAATCTTCCGAAGTAATTTTGTTTTTATTTGATAATATATAATTGGCAGATTTTACTTCTGATGTAAGTAGGTAACATTTTTTACCTTTAATAGGTATATATATAGAAAAGTCTGCTTTTCGACCCTGTAGCGAAGGGTCGAATTTACGTTTTCTATGTACAGATGCTCCCAGAACATCAGTCGACCTAAAAATGATTCAATAACATATTCTAAGCTTTATAATTATATAATATATCTGATATATATATATATAAACATCAAAATTACCATTCGCATTTAAAATTAATGTTACAGAAAAATGGCCTGATCACGGGTTCAAAAACTTCATGTACAAAGGAATCTTCTTTTAAATCTTGCCTACACACTTCCGATTTAAAATTACTTATTCTATAAAAATAGCCGGAGCAAAATCACTTGAGATTGTTGTGTTACACGAATATGTATTTCACCAAAAAAGTATTATAAAATTTTCTTTCCTAATTTGGGACGGTCTCTCTTGGAGATCAGAATAAACAACTATGCGCCAATTTTTTTGAGTTCTACAAATACTCACATTGACTCAAATGTTTCTAGGATTAAATCCTCTTGATTATCATCAAGATTCTTTTGCCATTTTCTCAATAGTAGCTTGCATTCTCCAAAATCATTACTTGCAGTCTATTTAATAAATATGTTATTATGAATAGTCACCATATTAAGTTCACGTTAGAATAGTATACCTCCGCCATTTTATGACATCGAAAAACATCATCATTCGACAAATAATAGAGATCAAATTCATTTTTGATGGTATCAAAAACAATTTTTAACGATTCTGGTTCAATCAATGAAGAAAGTCCGCTTGTTACATTTCGTTCGAATAAAAATATATGGTTCAATGAACTAAAACAACATGAGAACATTTTAGAAAAGGATCATTCGAATGTCTATAAACGATTTGGAATTTAGAACCTACAGTATTTCGGAAACTTCATTAACTTTATTCTCAAAAATTTTATGAACTGAAATATCACGATATTCTAATAATATATTTGAAATATCGAGTGTGCCGATAACCCACTACATATATAAAAAAAAATTAAAATCTTTTCTAAATAGACCTAAATATAAGTTCAAATATTACCTTTTCTGCATCAGCGCTTAATGTAGATTTCATGATACCTGGTCCCGTGAACCAATCACGAATATATTGGGTTCTCCTCCTCCTGGTTTCACTAAAAATTTCGTCTTCAGGCTCAACAAAAGTGTCATCATCGAGACCGTCCGAACTTGGTTGATATGAACCATCTGAATTACTTTCATCAGGTAATCCGGATGCTATAAAATCATTTAAATGGTTCTCATCGGTTGTTTCTACTACAACAAAAGGATTGTTTGGATCGTCCCCCACTATCTAGAAATAAGTTTATAAGTTAAATAAAAAATCAAATGGATTTAAATATGAATGCCGCCAAAAGAAAACCTGCAATCTGGTTTTCAATTATATTTTGTGTACAAAATATGATTGAAAACCAAATGATAAATTGTCGATAGACGGCCAACTGTACACAAAATATAATTGAAAGCCTGATTCCAGGTTTTGTTTCGACGCGTTTTGGTATACAGTACTAACTTTTGCGACACGTTTCGGTGGGCTTTCCTTTGCATTTTCTAAAAGTCGTTTTGTAAATCTAGTGGTGATGGCATTTACGTAGGCGCCCATTTGCTTATTCACATTGGTGACTACAGTCAAGTCATATTCATTCTATTCGTAATAAGGAATCAAAATTTATCAGTTTGATATAATTATAATTCATCAAGTTTACAAATCAAGTTTACAAACCTCTTCGTTTCTAATTTTAGATTCAACCATTCCTTCGCTTACTGATATCCAGAAATTATTTACACCCTCCGAAGACTTTTCATACTAAGTATTAAAAGAACAAATCCGTTAATGTATCTGACATTATTTTCATTTATTTTCATTTTAGCAATAACATGTAAGAGCGCCCAAGGGAACCTCAGTCCACTATCACCAACCAATCGCAATCAGCCAGCTACTTGGGGGTTGTCAATACGTCACGCTACTATCTCAATGACTGGAACGCATTCTAGCTCTTAGTTCAAGGACGCCGAAGGAACCTCAGTCCACTATCACCAACCAATCGCAATCAGCCAGCTATTCGGGGGTTGTCAATACGTCACGTCATTGTCTTGGTAACCGGAACGTATTCTAGTCCTTGGACACATTAGTTCAAGGACGCCGAAGGAACCTCAGTCCATTATCACCAACCAATCGCAATCAGCCAGCTATTCGGGGGTTGTCAATACGTCACGTCATTGTCTTGGTAACCGGAACGTATTCTAGTCCTTGGACACATGAAATTGCCCAATCTCGAGTTCAATGACTGGAACGCATTCTAGCTCTTAGTTCAAGGACGCCGAAGGAACCTCAGTCCACTGTCACCAGCCAATCGCAGTCAGCCAGCTATCCGGGGGTTGTCAATACGTCACGTTATTGTCTTGATAACCGGAACGTATTCTAGTCCTTGAACACACAATTTCAAGTACTAAAAGGTATGTACTAAAAGGTAATATACACTTAACTTTGAAATTTTCTAAACATTGTTTAGCATACTCGTTATTTGGGGACATTCTTTCTAGTGCTATTTTGTATTCTAAGTGCTCACATGCTTTGTCATATGTAAAATCATTTTGTTTTTTTCTATAGACTAAATAGTCTAGTAACGACCACTTCCTTCCTTTGAAAAAATTCATAACGATAATGTTTTCCACTGATTATTTAGAACCTTTTATAACTAGGGATGGGTGTTATCAGTTAACTACCCCAGCGGCACCGACAGATTTTTACTGATCGACATTTTTTTTAGGGTCAAGGAATTTTTTGTTTTGATTTCACGTTACACCTGATCTTGTAATCTAATTGGTCAATCGCTGTCGATCAGTGAAAATCTGTCGGTGCCATTTTACGTATTTCCTTATTTGGGGTTGGAGGCACGGGATTGAAAGGCATGCCCTTTGACTAGGGACCCAGAAAAATTTCAATATCATTTTGTAAAAAATTGTTTTGATAATGACTAAATATTGATTTTTATTTTAATATAAAATTTAAATCAAGATTTTTTTTTTTTTTTTTTGAATTAAAGTCCCTATCTATAGGAGTTGATGTTTTTATTTATGTATTTGAACATGAGTGCCTTCAGAGGCACCCTTATATTGGAGGTTACAACTAGTTACATGTACATTTTTGGTGCCTAATTTAAGTAGTCTGTCTATACATTACTATACAGGTTCTATACTATATGTCATACCTGCAAGCCAACTATGAGTCTTGCCTATTTAAATTCTTTGCATATATAGTCTACTATGTCTTACAAGGATTTTTTAAGGCTACACTTATCCAATATTAGCAAATTTATAGGTGTGAAATATTTCAAAAGATTTTACATAGCACAATAATTTCAAAATATTGCAAAATAAATTTTTCATTTTTGCTAAATGCAAAATATTTTGAAATATTGTGAAATAAATTTCAAAATTTTTGTTTTATACAAAATTTTTTGAAATATTTTGCATCTAACCTTTTATAATCTACATCGCAGCAATATAGATGTGATTTTTAAATTTTTTTTTTTTTTATTTTTTTTTATTTATTTTTTTTTTATTTATTTTTTTATTTTTTATTTTTTTTTTCTTTATTTTTTTTTGATCTTTGAATTTTTTTTTTATTTTTTATTTTTTATTTTTTTTTGATCTTTGAATTTTTTTTCTTATTTTTTTTAATCTTATTTTTTTTTAATTTTTGAATTTTTTATTTATTATTTATTTTTTCTTTTTTATGTTTTTATTTTTTTTTACTAACATCTTTTGAACCAGGAACTGGTACCAAGATATGTACTAATTAACTTTATTTTGTTTTTCTTTTTTTTAATATTACTAATGTTTTCTTTTTTGTAATCTTGTGTTTTACTGAAAAGAGTTAATAAGGCTGGGATCAAGATCTTGAATTTGCAACTAGTACAAAGATAAGTACTAGTTTATTTTTTTTTGTTTTTTTTATTTTTTTTTGCTTTTACTAATACTAATTCTTGTTTTTTTTTTTTTTAGGTTTTGTGTTTCACTGAGAAGGGTCAATAGAACCAGGATCAGGACCTTAAACCTAGAACTGGTACAAAGATAAGTACCAGTTCACTTTTTTTTATTTTTTTTATTTTTTTTGTCTTTTACTAATTATTGTTTTCTTTTTCTTTAAGTTTTGTACTTTACCAAGAAGAGTTAATAGGGCTAGGATTGGAATCTTGAATTTACAACTGATACAAAGATAAGTATTAGTTTGTTTTTTTTTGTTTTTTGTTTTTTTTTGCTTTTACTAATACTAATTCTTATTTTCTTTTTTTTTAGATTTTGTGTTTTGCCAAAAAGGGTTAATAGGAGTTGGAATCAGGATCTTGAACCTAAAACTGATACAAAGATAAGCACCAGTTTATTTTTTTTTATTTTTTTTGTTTTTTACTAATTATTGCTTTCTTTTTCTTTAGGTTTTGTGCTTTATCAGAAAGGGTTAATGAAGGCTGGAATTGGGATCTTGAATTTGCAACTGATACAAAGATAAGTATTAGTTTATTTTTTTTTACTTTTACTAATACTAATTCATGTTTTTTTTTTTCTTTAGGTTTTGTGTTTTACTGGGAAAGGTTAATAAAGGTCAGGATCAGGATCTTGAATCTAAAACTGATATAAAAATAAGTATCAATTCACTTTTTTTTTGTATTTTTTGTTTTTTTTTGTCTTTTACTAATTATTACTTTCTTTTTTTTTAGGTTTTATACTTTGCTGAGAAGGGTTAATAGGGGTCAGGATTAGGATTTTGAATCTAGAACTGGTACAAAGATAAGTACCAGTTCACTTTTTTTTGTTTTTTTTGTCTTTTACTAATACTAATTTTTGTTTTCTTTTTTGTTAAGTCTTGTGCTTTGCTGAGAAGGTTTAATGAGGGCTGGGATTAGGATCTTGAATCTAGAACTAGTACAAAGATAAGTACCAGTTCATTTTTTTTTGTTTTTTTGTTTTTTTTTGTCTTTTACTAATACTAATTCTTGTTTTCTTTTTCTTTAGGTCTTGTGCTTTGCTGAAAAGAGCTAATAGGGGCCAGGATTAGGATTTTAAACTTGGAACTGATACAAGATAAGTACTAGTTCATTTTTTTTCATTTTTTTTCATTTTTTTTTGTCTTTTACTAATTCTTGCTTTCTTTTTCTTTAGGTTTTGTACTTTGCTGAGAAGAGTTAATAGGAACCAGAATTGGAATCTTGAACTTAAAACCAGTATAAAATAAGTACTAGTTCATTTTTTGTTTATTTTTTGTTTTTTTTGTATTGTTAGTAGGTTTTGTGTTTTGCTAGAAAGGTTTAATAGGGACCAAGATATATAGAATAGTTTTTTTTATTATGTAATTATTATGTAATTATTATTTAATAAAAATTAAATAAAAATTTTATTTAATAAATAATAATTAAAAATTAAATAAATTAATATATAGTTTTAAAATTTTTTAATTATTTTGTAATAATAGAATTTTTGTTTATTTTGCAATATTGCAAAATTTTTTTGATTATTTCACATTATTGCCAAAATTTTCTAATTACAATATTTCGCTTTATTGTAAAATTTTTTTAATTGTTTCGCATTATTGCAAAAATTTTCTAATTATTTTACATTATTATGAAAATTTGCTAATTATTTTGCATTATTGTGAAAATTTGCTAATAATTTCACAATATTGTGAAATTTTTTTGATTATTTCACAATATTGTGAAATTTTTTTATTTCAAAAGAATTTCACATTAATCATAATTATTTCAAAAGATTTTTGTTATGCAAAATTTTTCACAATATTTTGCTTATATTTTTTGTTGATTAAAGTACCTGATGCCTTCAAGTACTTTTAGAACTAGTTTATTCTTAATAAAAAACTTATTAGAATTTTCTATGTCTCATACACAGCTGATCTAGTTTTATACAATATGCTATAGTTACCTAACATTTGTAATCATAAGAGTTATCTGTTTAATTACTATGTTATACTATTTTTACTCTTGTAAAGTTTACTAGAATTCCAATACCTAGCATCTTGACATCTTTATTATCTCTTACTAACTATTATTCAGAACTAACAAGACTCTCCTAACTTCCAATCTAGATAGCCTAGTATAGTATACTTATATATCTTTTTTCTTCAACAATTCTAATAGCCTGATTGGTTATATGCTTCTCTATATATCTTAACATCAGGCTTATTTATCTATTCTTTTGAAGGTGTTTCATGAGCTTTCATCAGTCTAACTGTATTGTCAAAAGTTTATGCTACTTCTTTACTCAAGAATTTCCAAGTAGGCTTTTAACTTTTCAGTTTTTTAGTTTACTGCACCTGATGGTCTTATTATAAGTTTGTACTAAAGTCTTATGTGATACTGGTTATTAATATTTCTCTATATATGTGTAATTTTATATTTGGCATAGATGCCCTGAGCTCCTATTTGAGATAGTGTGACTTAAGGTTACAAATACACAAATCCAACTGATCATCAAAAGACAGTTTGTCATAATACAGATTAATTTTCAAATTTCGTCATAGGTGGAATTTGAACCTTAGACCTGCTACTTGAAGAATGACAACCCAACCATTACACTAGGATCATCATTCTCTAAATCAAGATTTTGTTAATTTTGATTAAAATACATTATATTTAACATTTATAATGAATCCAATTTAAGATTTTATTAATCTTCTGTTAAAATATTATTATAATTTGAAAAGTTGTATTTAATTGCACAAAAAGAAATTGGAAGCCAAATATATTCTTGTATGATTTTGCTTAATTCTGATAATTGCTCAAATAATTTTTTCTAAAATTTTGCTAAATTATTATATTTAATTGTTGCTAATTTTAAATTACAATAAATTGATCATTCATGTATTAAAGAAGAAAATAGATTATCTAATTCATTAATAATATAGTAAGAATAAAGATTATGATTAGCAGTAGTAAGACAAACAAAAAGTGAATCAAAAATTTGTATAGCCTAAAATAGAAATCATGTAGAATGACTTTGAATATAAATTGTATATTTGTTATAAGCAATATTCAAGATGTTTTGAAAAATTGAACAAAATGAATCAGATGAATAATTATTAGTAATAATAAAATCCTAAATATAAAAAAGAAGAATAAGTAAGATTTGATTATTTTTAATATATAAATTAAGTTGTTAAAGGTAAGATTTAATATATAGAAAAATGGGTATATTTTGGGTTTGAAAAAATCTAATTCATTTACAAAAACTTGTCTAAAATATTTAATAAAATAAAGATAAATTTTAATAAGAAAATTATATTGTGAATTATTAAAAATTTTATTAACTTTCTTGATAACTAGAGAGAGATTTCGATAAAAAAAATTATATTATAAATTATTAAAAATTTTACTAACTTTCTTGATGACTAAAAAGGAGTTTTTATTTTTTTCTTTACAATAAAATCTACATATATATTTCAGATTTTTTATAATATAAAATATTATTCAAAATTAAAAGTTTTACTTAGTTTTATTATAAAAAGGAATTTTTTGAGAGGTTTTAATACCATAATAACACAAATGCAAGAAATATTAACTTTTCTGATTTTTGTATCTAGAAATAAATTGCTGAATTTCAAAAAGTAAAATTTTAATAATATCAAATTATATAACTAATAACTATGTCTTTCTAAAAAAATAAAAATAAAAATAAATATTTATTAATAATTATGTCACTTTAATAAAATAAATTTATTAATATTTGTATATAACCAAGAAGAAACCAGACTTTGATTATATAAATTTTATATAATTAAAGTTTGGTTTTTCTTTAATATTACCTATTTATTTAATAAATATATCTAATTAGATTTAAAATATACACTATATATATTATATGAAATATTTGAGACATTACAAATTTTAAGATAATTTAAAAATATTTTTTTATATATGATATTAAATCTAAGACAAAAAGTTTAAATAGAATTAATCATTCAACTAAAATTTGAAAAATAATCTGTTTCATTATTGTATTGTTAACTTTATTAATAAAATTTACTAAAACTAATCTAGTTATATTTTTATAATTAAACAAAACATTAATTATATTTTTAACACAATCATCTATAGTTTTATTAACTATTATTGTAACTAGTTTGTTAAAAAATTCTAATTTAATAGTCATAATATGCATTTCATATATTGGCTTTAAATATTTTTATTTTAAAATATTAGCTAAAAGAATAGAATTATCATTATAAAGATTATCCTTAAATCGTATATGCAATTTATTAATCTTTTTTAATAGAATATTTGTACTTACAAACACCTTAACTAAGTCAAAAATTGTTTGTTTATTTTTTTTTATAACACTAATTATAATATGTATTGTTGATTGCTTTGATATTACTTCATATCATTCTTTTACAATCTTATTAGTAATATGTTTTGTACTATTAATATAAGTTGTAATAGTTAATTTTATTTTATAATTAACAGATATGTTATAAAATCAATATATCAAAGTTCTATAATTAGCAAAATAATATTCATGAAATTCATTTGTATGTATTAAGACAGTAATTTGACATGAAGGTAATATTAAAAAAAAATTAATACTAAAATATTATTAGTTTATAGTTTGTAATAAAGCTATTATACAATTCTTTCTAATAATTACTTAAACCAAACTAATACCAAAACAATTTAAAGAGTTATATTTTTAAATAGACAATATCTTTGATTTTGTTTTAATATATAAAGCAGATTGTTACTAATAAACTAGAAATACATAGGGTGTAGTAACCTAGTAAAGTGGTCAAGTTGTCAACCTTCCAAGTGGTAGGTTGGGTGTTCAAATCCTATCGACAATGAAAATTTGGATAATCACCTATGTAATCTGGTATTATAACAACTGTTCCTAATGATTGGATTAAGATACCTGTAATTATGATCACATTAGCATAACTGGCAGATCATGGAGTATCTGTGTAACTTGTTATATAGAAGAATACAAACTGACAAATCAGGCAGTGCAAACTCAAGATAAGTCCTTGTGGCTATGTAAATCTATAGAAATTAGGAAACAAGAAGCCTATTTGGAAAAACCTAAGTAGAGAGATAACATGGGTCTTTGATGGTACTACTGTAAAGGTTAGATCTAAGAAACAGATACCAATATCGGAGTAGCCAAACAAACAAAAACCTTTGGGTTGGGAGTCTCAGAGGTACCACCAACCAGATCACCAGATTAGACTGAAGAAAAAGGATATTGGGTTGACCTAATATACTGATGAACTGGTCATAGTCTTACATAGGCTATCTGGATTAAAAGTTTGGTAAAAGAAGCAGAGGTATACTAAAATACTAGAGATATGCTGTAAAGTAGGTACTGAGGTCTGTGTGAACTCTACAAAGGCATAGCAGTTTAATAATTAGTCCTGACTGCAAGTGTTGGTTCTGCTATAGCAATATCTAGATCAATTGCAAAAATGGATAAATAGCAGGCTTCAGAAGGTTTATTTTGAGGTTAACTGTTCTAAGATTGAGACAAAGAATCTAGGCTTGACCTGGTAAAGTAACATGGGACAGGTTCAGAGGATTTAAATAGAACATCCAAGTAGAGATATTAGGTACGGCAATTGGTAGAGAACATTAGATGGACTCCTTAAATAAGTAATATAAAAAGTTATATGAATGACCAATTGTACACTTTTTCTATAATAGCTCCTTATGGAACTACATTCCTAAAAATATATTAATAAAGTTGAAAGACCAAAGAGGTCATCTTAACACAAAAAAAAAAAAAAAAAAACAAATTAGAAATACATAAAAAAACTAAGATGCAGACAACTTTTCTAGTAGTTTGTATCAAAGTCAAATCTTTTTATAGACAAACTTCTCAACATGTTTAGTATTCAAATCAAAAGAAGATTTTGGAAACAATAGAAAAAAATCTGATTAAAGATTATTAGAAACTTAAAAACAGAATAAACAACTAAAAACACTTTCTTTAATTTGGTTCTTTGTATATTATATTTATTAACCTTTTTTATCTGTTTTGTTTTTTTTATCTAAAACTGAAGAATTTAATTTCTTCTTTATAAAAGATTAATATTATTTATTATTTTATTTTTTAGACAATTATATGTTGTAATATAATGTAATAAGAATACAATAATCATGTATATAGCCTAACATGTAATATAATAAAGAAACAAAGAAGGATTTAAATTAAAGAATTATACTAAATTAGAGATATATAGTAATTTTTAGAATTATGTATATAGAATTTTTATCTTTTTAGTATAGGTTAAAATGTAGTTAGATTCTTAATACAGGTTTAAAATATTAGTAACATTACTAAAATAATTATGAATAAGGTATACCTTCTAACATTTTTCTTTTTTCTTCCTATAACCATTTTTAGTTTAGTTTAATTAAATATTTTTTTTATTCTTTTATTTCTTTATAAGAAAATGTTATTAGTTTGATAATATTCTATTATAGGATGATGATTAGAAATAACCTTCCAAGTAGTAACTTTTTACTGTCTGATGCAATAAGTCACTCTTGAGTACTCTTAAAAGCAGCTAGAAGTATATAGTATTAGCAATAGTATTAATATTTTTTCTTAATAAAAGTACACCAGCATAACTATTTAAGTGAAAAAAAAATTTTAAATTATTATAAAATTAAAGTTTCAAAAAACTTACCCAAATATCATAAAAAAAAAAAACTTTACTAGAGTTTGTCAGTTTATTATAAAAGCACAATAATTTACTAATGTTTGCTAGTTTATTATAAAAACACAATAATCTATTTTTTAAAATAATTGAATGTGTTTGGAATGAATACATTGAAAACAGTGTTTGGAATACTAAAAATTTGTCTTTAATAGATTGCTTATCATTATCTCTATTGATTTTACATGTTGTTACACAAATAAATAGAATATATGATTGGTGAGATAAAATAACTAACTAATCATATTTGTAGTGTAGTAATGTAACATCACATGCATAAAAAAACTGGTAAAAATTGTGATTTATTGTTTTGAAATTTTTCCGGTCCCTGAATAAAAAGATAATAGGTCCTACACCGCGAAGCCAAAGACCCGGGACATCATATGATGGACTTAACAGAGCATGAGTTATCTTCACGAGTACGGTGATGAATATGGGGACCACACACCATCCAATGATCTCCGCTGAATAATAACTCTGGCCTTTAAAGAGATGTGACAGATCCTAAAGGTGTCTAAGGACCTTCAGGATAGCGGAGGGAGGAGAAAAAAAAATAAAAAAAGTATTTATTATGAAAGATTGTCTTATATTCGAAATCTTTTTTATGTTTTTTGTCAAGATCTGTTGGTTGGCAAGAACAACACACCAAGCATTACTGGACATAGTCCAAGTGATACCTTAATTTTGGATGTGATGACATTGTAGTATCGTTAAAAATACTATTGCAAAAAAATATCAATATATTACTAATTACGCTCAAATCAAAAGTTTATCATTGCCGAATTCAAGAACTCATCGAATCGACAAATAATCATTCGAACCTGATGTCCCAAAAATAATGAAAACAGTCGTAAAAAAATTTTTTTTTAAGTATATTCACTATTCAGGTGGGATCTTTAAAAAAATTATTTTTTATTGTACGTATATACATTTTTTTTAACTGAATTAAAAAAACCCACTGGTCTTCTTGTTCTATTGTAAAACCTCGTGTAACATTACTTTAATATAAATAGCAATCAACCCTTATAAAATCTTCGGTACACGTTCAAAAATAATTACCTAACGATGTCATCGATTCACGTTATTATTCATTTTCTGGCACCGATAAATAAAACTTTCACTTTTACAGAGCCTGATATTCTTGAACTCGGTCGCTTCTCCGGGATTATTCAAGATCCAGCTATAAGCAAGAAACAAGGTTGAGTTTTGACTTTAATATAGCTTCTACTTAATAATTTGATCGTTCTGTTTTATCTTTTATGATTTTCTATTATCATTAATAAAGAAATACTGAGTTATGTCAAATTTTTCATTTAGTTTGTTTTGAAATAACAGATGGTCGAGTTTACGCTACATCCGTAATTCAATTTTCTTTTTTTTATCGGTTTTATTTTTTATGTTTTATATTTATTTTTTAAAAAGCTAAGTTTCCAAATTTTATATGAAAGCTTGGGGCAAATTGGATGATGAGAGGAACCGAAAAAATTCGTAAGAATAATAAAATAGAAATTCATGATGGTGAAACTTTAACATTAATGCAGGCAAGCTATTTTCTTAAAGATTTACAATAGTCGAAATGTCTAATAGAAACGTTTTCTTTTTATAATATAACAGAATAAATATCCATTTGAAGTAACAATCATAAACAACTCCACGCAAAATTTGCAAAGTTTATCACAGGGTAATTATAAGCACCAATGTTCTGTTACAGGAAATCAAGGTTTTCTACCTTCATTTAATAACGATGGTGATCGTGAGTATGACGCAATGGAAACACCATCCCAACTTTTACGAGAGATGATTTCTTCACAAGGTGATCTTGACACGATACCAGATGATGATCATGATAACATACTTTACAATGATGACAGAGAATCTAGTGATAATGGTGCTGACATTCATGATAGCGATAATAGCGATAGCATTAAAAGCATCGAATCGGATAATGAGATAATCTCTTCAGAATCTTCATTTCTGGGAAGTTCATGTGAATCCTCCGAATCTGTCATAGACGATTAGTTGATCAGTTACGTATTAAAATAAAAGTATATTGTTATGATGTGTGTAGTGATTGTGATCATTAAAAAAAACAGCTTAGCCGAGCCATAATTTTCTTAGTCGGTTATTATCCCAAAAATGAATTCTGCCAATAATAAACTGATCCGGAAACTCATTAATTTTAATATAAAAGATAACGTTGTTGTTTAATAAATTCTAGCACCAAAATTTCACGTCCATGTGATGTGCCAAAAAAATCATCTTAAGATATTTGTGAAATGTTTATATCCTGGGCAGTTGGAATATTGCAGTAAAGTATAACTGACGTAGACCGGCTATGTAAGAGGCCGATTACGTCAATTATACTTTACTGCAAAATTTCGGTTATATTCAACAGATAAACAATTTATCCCCTGCTCTCTACATTATACTCTTTTCATGTATTTTTATGTGCTTCGTCTAAAAACCCTTCTCTTTATAATCTTTAAGAGCGAAATATGGTAGAAAACTTTCGATACTTCATTTTTCATTTAATTAGATCAAGTTTTCTAATATTAAATAATTCTCTAAAATAAATGATGTATCCGGTTCATAGAAGGAAGTTCGTTTATTTGTGTCGATCCTGCATATGATCGAAGTCACCTGATTGGCCAATTAATATAATTATAACATTAAGGGTAGGGTGTACGTAGATCATTTTTCATATGACCTAGATGGTATAATGGATTTTTATATAGTAAATTAAAATATGTTACTAAT